GGGGGGGGTGAGTTGCTATAAAGAAACAAAAGAAACACTTCGAACGACAGAATATGTCACAAGTCTTTTATCCTTGATGTGCATTACTAATACACCATATCACCTCAGAAAAAGGTACTTATTCAAAATAAATTCTTTATGATCCAACAAGAGATTGCGGTAGCAGCTTTACAGTGAAAAGAAAAGTTAAAAATCATTATCTTCATTATTCTTAACAATCCCATCATAATCCACTGCTGCAAACTTTGACATTCAGACAAGGAAAACATCATTTCTTTAGCAGCACCTTAGAGCAGCTCAGTCCCTTGTTGTTTCTTGGAAACTAGGGTGAGAATGTGAGAGGTGAAGCACGAGGTGAAATATGAGCATTGGAAAAAAAAGGGAATTAAAGGTGAAAATGAGTTAGGCGCAGCACGAGGTGAAATATGGGCATTGGAAAAAAAAGGGAAACAACCGTCGCAATGTTACTGCAGCAACATGAGGCCAAATACAGCAAAGGAGGTGGAGGTGGAGGTTGGGGTGGGGTTGCAGGTGGGGGGTTGGGGGGAGGGTGTGTGGGAAGGAATGAAGAACAAGAACTCACACTGTACAACAAACTGGAGCGATCAACCTTCACCACCAGACTCGAATGTGATCGCCGGTGATGTGTGGCTCGGATTTCTTGGTAGAAAAAATTCCTCTTGTCATTGAACGTTTCAGACCCACCTGATGGAGAAAAATAGGGGGCAGGTGTGAGTGGGTTACCATTATTGTTACAGGCACTGAAACATTTGCAAACTTAAAGTTGAATAAACCCCCAAAATAATCAAATTTTCTATAAACACTAAACAACAAATTCTCTTTATAAAAGATAACAAAATGTCATCATACAAACATTTCTTCAATACATGACCTCATTCTTCCTCCTTTGCAATACAATTATTACGTGGTGTTCTGTGGATAGCTATTCTAAATATTTACTTCTGGAAGAACGTTTCTAAGAAAAGAATGCCTGTCAAGACTCATTGATTTGGGACAATAATTTTCAACACTCAACATTTGGCAGTGATTCTGTTGAAAATCTCCCTGGTCTGCTTGGATGTTGCATCTCACTCAACTCCTGTCGGTCCTGACAGGCAGGATTAAAGCAGCCTGCCTCCTAAATGATCAGAATTGTGCTGACTGGGGCAGAAAACACTTACAATAGTTTACAATCAATTAGCATGAAATAAAGAGTTTTAGAAACTTTTAATGGAACAATATTTCGTTTCTTAGAAATACAAAGTTCTACCTGACATTTTTGTCCGTTTTGAGTTACTAAATCCATGAGATCAGAAATCAAATGTTTATCTGCTCTATCAAAATCGAAAGATAATTTCGAGTCGTTATCAAGATATTCAAAGAATTGCATTCGAAAAAGCTTGACATATTATGAAGCTCAAGCCTTTTGTCGCAAAATTTATCAAAACGAGATACAGAGCAGAAAGAGCTTAGTAATAATAATTTTAAGGTAGCAATTTGTTTCAAGCTGGTACTCTCTCCCTCCTTTTCCCAAGTAAGCACAATATGAGTGGTTGAACTGACTTACCTATACTCTTCAGTAGGAAGCAGGAGAAAGTAGCTATGATGGTGTTTCTCTCTCTGGCCGACAGCTCCACTGAGGGCTGACTGCCATCCTCGATGGAAAACCTCGGGGCATCGTAGTTGTTGTTTGACCCGTTGAACACAAACTGTGGGGCAAAGATGTCCAAATGAAATATTGTCTACTGTAACACAGTGTATCTTTGTGAACAAGCAAACTTGTAAATATCATTTTACATCCAGCTCCAAGATCATCAATCTTTTGATTTCTTTTTCTCCTTGCTCCTCTGCATATCTTATTAGATCTCATAGGTGGTCGAGGTTCTTTAACTCATGGTGTAAATGACTTTAATTTATGAGGACAGGGTATCATGTCAATCTTTTATAAGTTAACTATTATTGATTCATACTGACCAACAAAATATTTCAGTAGTGGTCAAGGATTTACTAAGAATTTTGACCAGTAGAAGGCAGATTGGACCTTCCACGGCAAGTCAACTACATTATTTTTCTCCCACATAAACAAATCAAGAAATTCACAAACCGACAAAGCAAAAAGAGAATGATTGATCCCCAAAAACCAATGAGAAATGTGTTACCTTTGTCCAGGGACAGACTCGGAACGTGCACAGTTTCTTGGGATAAATCTTGAAGTAATATTCTTTAATAGTCAGTTGCTGGAACAAGACAATAAAAAAGCCATTGACAATCAAAAGCTAAAAAAGGGTAAGATTTTATAAAGTTTTCAAAGGACAAAACATTATTACTAATTTGCATAAAAAACATTGTACTGGAGGGTAGAGCACTTCAGGCAAAAACAAGGTATTAAAAAACCCCAACAATCTTTAACTGAACTATTTACACCTCAATTCTTCTTTATTGAGGGAAAGTAAAAGTGGTTTGGATTAAATATTACAGACTAAAAACTGAGCCTCCATTAACACAAACAGTTTAACTAGGGAGGTATCAATCTGATTGTGGTCAACAATTGTTTATGCCCCCTAGAGCCACATTGGGAAACCATGCAAGCAACTCTCCTTTGAAATGATCTGGTATGAGTAACAGAGAACAGCATTTGCCTTATTGATTGATTGATTTAGTAGAGGTTTTACGGCGCTCGCAGCTGCATAAGGTCATATGAGCGCCATCATTTGCCTTTAAAAAAAGTTAAAAAGGACTTTACGATTCAACGAAAACATAAAAAAACCCCCCCAAACCAACCTTTGGTGACACGTAGACGTAAACTTTCTTTGGTTTATCCAGCGTCTCTCCATTCTGCGTTAACAGCCGTGCCTCGTACCACAGGTTGTGTTTCCGTTTGGCCACATTTTTGTGCACCTTGCTCAACTCTGACACTGAAAAGACAGGGATAGGAAATGCAAAGAGTAGAATTAAGAGCAGATAAAAGCAACAAACATAAGCCAGTAGGCCACAAAATAGACATGAAAATATTGCATGTCAGAAATAGCATTAGGGCACAACTAGAAATATAAACATGATTGAAAAAAGACATTTATTTATCATAATCATCACAATTTTAAAAAACAGTAAAATTTGTACTAACAAATCATGTGCACTGAACTGAAACAACATTGATTACAAAACTAAAAACAGCTAAAATGAAAGGAATTCAGAGTAAAAAAATGTATCTGTACGTTGAGAAGGTCAAAGAGTAAAGATATTGCCAAAAGGAAAAATGAAAACTGGGAAGAAAGAGACTGTAATGAGAATGAACAGGGGGTAAAGTGAGAGGAATGAGCTTGAAAACTTAGAAGAAGACCTTAAAATCACAACAGCATAAAGTCTTGCGTATACATCCAAATACATGCGGATAAAAATGTGTAATTTCCCAGCATTTACGCTAAGTGGCATATGACCTGATGTGTTTGTTTTCAAGGCCACGCGTCGGGCGATCGGTTTGGGGAGTTGGTATATTTATAGCATGTACTGAAGCCACTAGAAACTTAACTGAATGGAACCTATCTGATCCTCTAATGAGCACCGCCAATTATGCAGACCCGATCAGGATCCTTCAACAGGCAAGATAGAATCAAAGAGCTCTAATTTCATCTGAGCACCTGGAAGGCCTGCACTTACCACTGAGGACAAGGATATCAAACTCTCCGTTTTTGAGCTTGACATCTCCGTAGGAGACGGTTGCCTGGTAGCAACCTTCTTTGTCCATCTTGATGTGCATGACCAGCTTCTTCTCCAGAGTGTTGTACACTATCTGGGTGGTGGGGGAGTAGCGCTCTCCGGTGCCCGCCTGGAGAGAGAGAGAGAGAGAAAGAGAAAGATGTAAACATAATGATGTGTGGATGTGTGATAAGAGAAAGATATAAATATAATGATGTATAAATATATTTGTGGACGTCTGATGAGAGCTAGATGTAAATATATTGATGTATGTATGTGTGGATGTAAGGTGAGAGAGAAGGTGTATGTGTGTGTGTGTGTGAGAGAGAGAGAGAGAGAGAGAGAGAGAGAGAGAGAGAGAGAGAGAGAGAGATATTTTTCAATCCATATGAGCAAATATAAATTTCCTCAATTTTTGTTCTTTCTACTTGGATTTATGTAAAGCACCTAGACCAGTGTGCATATGGGAGCAGGCGTAATAAAAATGATTTATATTTTATTCTTCTTCTTCTTATTATCATTATCATTTTTATTATTAAAGTGTGAGAAGACAGAAGAATACTGATGAGTTGGTGACACTCAGTTGTGTTCTTTGCTGAATCAGCAATCTTTGCTGGACATATATGAAACTTTCATACCATCTAGAACAATCACATACCACTGTGACCTAGATCTTGAAGAAGGACTATCTAGAACAACCACATATCTCTGTGACCTTGATCTTGAAGAAGGCCTATATATAGAACAAGCACATACCTCTGTGACCTTGATCTTGAAGAAGGCCTTTATATAAAACAAGCACATATCTCTGTGACCTTGATCTTGAAGAAGGCCTATCTAGAACAAGCACATACCTCTGTGACCTTGATCTTGAAGAAGGCCTATATATAAAACAAGCACATATCTCTGTGACCTTGATCTTGAAGAAGGCCTATCTAGAACAAGCACATACCTCTGTGACCTTGATCTTGAAGAAGGCCTTGTGGTCGGCTCTGTAGGCTGAGAGGTTGCCAAAGGAGTCCCTGGTCTCCATGACGAGAGGGTAACTGGTGCCCGCCGGGAACACCACGGTGGATGTGTAGTGCATGAAACCAGTCTTGGAGGGGTCAATAGGACCTGGACGGTATCGAAAAGCAAAAAATGTGAGGCATCGTGATGAAATCAGGTGCTCCTCAAAATAATGAAATCAAAGAAATCGGCCTATATAGGGCCGTTGGATAATTTTTAAAAAATTTATTTTTTTAGCTCAATACCTTTTATGTCGATTTACAAACATTTGTTTGTGGATTTTACTGGAAAACGTTGATCAAAAGCACAAAAAAAAAGGAAAATTGCAATCTCCAAAGACTCTCAAGCTTAGGAAATCACCAAACTTTGGTGGCCATTTTCTTGTTAATTTTACCTCAGAAACGAGGTGACCTTTACCTCCTTTAATGGCAAATATCTCGACTTCTATTCAGGAAAGAAGGGTATTTTTCACAGCGGAAGATAGTCAAATGAACAATCTTACTTTAAGATGATACCAATAACTTCATATGCAGAAAAATTGACTGATTCCACCATACTGCGACACATATTGCTTCATCTTTTTCTCCGCTAATGACTAATTGCTTGGACGACTCACCAGCCTCAAAACACTTGATGAAAGGACTGTCTTTGATGTGCCGACCCCCGACCATGACGGAGATTTTGTACTCTCCAGACTTGTGCACCGTGAAAGAACAACGGACCAAGTTCATGTCTGCCGGCTCATCTCCGGAAAACTCCAAGGTCTGTGCGACCTTGACCCCTTCGTGGACGATCTCAATCAGAACACCGTCTCCGTCCGATACAGGGTACGGCGTGCCGTTCTTCTGGAAAAACTGGGAAGCCAAAAAAAAGAGTAGCAATAATAATAATAAT